CATGTGCTGCAGAGGGTAACGTATGCTTCAACAGCAGCTCTTGTCACTCACTCACTCAGGTCAACACACACTACTGCTGCTGCGACCGGCCTGTGTCAGTTTTAAAAAGACAGCTTTTCTTTCTCGGTTTAAGTAGGAAAACCGCGACTTGCCTCTGCCATTCTGCATTTCTGTCTGATCCCTTGTGCCCAAATTGCGAGCATTTTTATCCCTTCTCCACTTACATCCCTTGATCCTCTTTGTTTCTTTTCTGCTGCTGTGTGCTTGCTCTATGTGGGTGGCCCGGTAAATAGCCTGCTGCCACTCTCATCATTGTGTTTTAAAAAGACATCAAATAAATGACTTCTGTTTTTGTTTGCCTTAACAAACACACTTAGATAACCATCTGTCATGATTTTGAGTTTCAGTCTGCTCGTTCATCCTTTCATTCATTCAGTCCACTTGCTTGTGTATACGTGTTCTAATTCTGCTGTCACTTCAGACACCCCCACCTGTCTGCCTTTTCCGACAGTAGTATCACCTGACCCGCTCCTCCTCCTCCCCACTCACCCACTCACCGGTTCCCCGTTCCTCATTAGCTCACATACTGGTCCATTTTCACTTGCTCTCTGCCAGATAGTCTTTGTGCCATGCTCCTTCTCTTTCCACTTCTGCCGATCCTGATCATGATTTTGACCTTTTTTGAGATACCTTTGTACTTTGTTTGCCTGCTTGGATTTTTTTCTTATCCTTGTTCTTTTCTAAGTAAAGACTCTTTACTTTTACATCTGCCTCCTGAGTCGTGCTCCTGGGTCTCTTTTTTGAGAACCGTGACAGTACCAGGCTTAGTCAAAGAGGTTTTTCTTGCATTTAATTAGAAGAAAGACTGTTGAAACTATTGTCAATACTGTGAGGACTATTCTCAGTATGAAAGGCAAAAGACTGACAAAAAAGCAGATTATCAGCACACCATGTAATGTCATTATGTAATTGACAAATTGTGACTCTATCTGCCAAACCTTTTCAGTAATATGATGCTTTGGATGCAGTTCAGTCATTTAAATGAACACACCGTGTTTTCTTGACAAAGATAAAAGGGGTTATTTATGTGGTGAGATAAAGCTTTTTAAAACAGCAGTGTAACCCGTCCCTGCTCCATCAATAACAGTAACCCACTCATATGCAATTATCCCTTGTACTTTGCTGAGCAGTAGGCCAACAGACAGAGAGAGGCAGACTCATCTAATTCACTCTCCCTCAGCAGCTTTTTCATGCTGAAGTGTGGCATCACCCCTGCTTGCACATGCTAGCTGTGCATTCTGTGTGTATGACAGAGGCTTTTAAATCAAATGTGGCTGTTTCAAACCGCTCAGTAATCCCATGATGGGAGTCACAGGGGATCTCTGCTGCAGATGTCTGCTTGGCTTTGCAGGCGGCCCCGGGGAGCTGTGGAGCAGTGGCTGTGAAAAGTACAACTAAACAATTCATCCAGTAGTGATGTAAGGATTACCAGTGAGTTTCACTTTAAAATATAAGCAAATGTATTTTGAGGAAATGTTTTAACGGATGTGTGACACAACCTCATTCAAAACATATCTGATAAATGAATAAGAGGCTATTAGGTAATGTTTTGACTTGTTACGCAGTACATAACAAGGCATTGGTTATTAAAGTATGTCATTTGTATATTTATCAACCCATGGGATCAAATTAGCTCAAAACCATTTCAAAATCAAGTATTCATGTCTGACCAGTGATTCTGATTGGTCGACAGTGGAGTGGCTCATTTGAACGCACATTCCTCTCCTCCTGTTTTGTTCTTTTTTCTTTTTGAATATGAACCATAATATAACAAAATCAACTGAAATGACAAGGGTCCTGCATTATGACTTAATCTTGAGGTCTTGTGTTTAAAAAAAAAAAAAAAGTTTTTATGTCTTCATCAGTTAAGTTTACATTGTGCTCCTAAATAAATGTGTACAATTTGTGTACTTAAGGTGGGTGGGACGTAAGTGTATGCACCGGTCTGCTCTATTTGGCTGCATTTGACTCAAGCTCTCTTCAGCCAGTATGTTTATGTGTTAGACATGCGTGCTGAAATACCATATGATCTAGTGGTGGGCAACACTCCTGCATCAGTAGCTAGTCACCTTGTTTTACTTATATTTACTTATTCTTAACCGTTAACACTGAATTATTGCATTCATTGATTTTTGACCAACATAGCCAGCTCTGTCCACCCGTGCATCTCCAGGGAAGAACTGAAAACGCATCTATAATGGACACTTTTTATGCGCCAATGCACAAACAGTAATGCTTGATCCATATCTTTAGTAGAACTTTGTTGATTTTGCTTCCACACACCGGGATTTAAAATCCTCAAATCCAGCTCCCTGAATCAGTGCGGGTAGATGTTTCTGCCCCATTGGTTGGTCTCAGTTAATTTTCTCTGCATTTCATTTGAGAAAATTACCTCCTTCCTCTGTAACAGGTAATCTTAGAAAAATCCTCATTGCTAAAACAATATTTGAGAAAAAGTTGCCTGTTGTTCATTTCTCAACTTGGAATAGATTTGTAGCAGGATAATCTTTCTGTGCTCTGCTCTGAGGGCCTTAAACTGGAGCAACTCCTTTGCAAAGGTCTTGTCTAAATCCTTTTGATACAGGGCATAGAATGTTTTGCTCACTTGAGTGTGACCAATACATCATTAAAGACCATGGTAAATAACACACCAAATAGACTGTTGATGTCTTCGGAAGCATCCAGCTGTTGGCTCAAGCCTGAAAGCAATCCGTCAAAGTAATGTTTTCGACCTTGAAGTTTTTAGCTTCCACAAAGCATCACTTTATTGTCTGTGGGCTATTTTTTTCTTCTTTTGCTACATCTCATGCTGATAGGTCTGTGACGCTCCAGGGCGAACCCAGCCTAATGTCTCAAACTGTAGGAGCTGCTCTTGCAGTGATGCCACACAGGACTGCAGTCACTCTGGCAGATGCACAGCAGTTAACAGGTCCACTTCCCAGACACCTCTAGTCAACTTGAATCTCAGCGGCACAGCGTACAATAATGTAGCCATCAGCGCAGTTTCTTTTTTTCATAACACAAAGTGCAGCTGTCTCATGCTGAGTGTCCTGTCTCTTCTCATTGTCTGCTTCTATCATCTCAAGAGCCTCTCTTATGTAACCATCATGGAAGGCTCTTGTTGAGTCCACACCGCATGCCCATATGGTGCTTAAAAAGAGACTTTAGTGTTAGACATGTGAGTGATGCTCTTAAACACCATATTCCATTGGTGAGTGGATATAGAGCAAAGAACATAGGGTGCAGAAACTCATGAGCCGACTTGCCTCCCCGCAGCAGCTTTCAACATCTTGAAAATTCAATGAATGGACTGCAAAAGCAAAAAAATATTTGCTTTCATGTGAGCCTGTTGACCATTTCCTGACATATTGGAAACTCTATATCATAACTGCACAGCCGATGGAGAGGCCTGAACTTCGATCTGGGGTGACTTTCAGTACAAACTCACCATTGCTGGACTCAGTCTTCAAAGGCAAATCTAATAAAGTCAATCAGCCCACTGAATATCCTGGTCATTTGCACCGTAATCAAATCTGGTGTCCTTTCGGGTATTGTTTCTGTGGTGTTGTTGTTAACCACTTGTTTTTGGCCAGGTTAGTTGGTGGATTGATTATAGATCATTATGGGCATTTTTTATTCAATAAATATAAAGGCAATACATTACGTTTCCTGACATGTGCACAGCAACACACAGCTCTGCCACTCTGCCGGTGCCACCAGTCGGGTTTTTTAACTGGGAGTGTGCAGATTAGAATCTACTGCAGGTAATGCACTGACTATTGATGACTACGTCACACGACCCCATGTCAAAAAACCCGATCTATCCCTTTAAATGGGCCCTGATGAAGTCATGATATGATAATAATACTAACACTAAGGTCTCCTACTGCACTGAAGCTTTAGTGAAGTCTCTCACTGCTTTGGATGAAAGTTTCTGTCAAATGAGTAATTGTAAATATGTCATTATTAATTCATGTTTAGTCTGGTATTTATTCATCTTATTGTTCAGGAGTGGAGGAAATATTCAGATCCTTTACTTGAGTAAAACTAACAGTGATGCAATATTAAAATAGGCCATTACAAGTAAAAGTTCTGCATTAGGTAAAAGTGCATTTTATTGGCAAAATATGTTTAGAGTATCAAAAGTAAAATAATTCATAGTATGCTTCACAAGCATATACTGTATATTATACTAATCAATATATATTGAATATATTGAATTAATACTATATTAATCATGATATATTGAATATAATGCAAAATAACCAGTAACAAAAGGTGCCAAATAAATATAGTGGAATAGAAAGTACAATCAAATTATCCAGTAATTGAGGTAGAAGTGTATTGTCATATGAAATGGATGTACTACCTAAAATTTGTCTTCACATAATTGTAGGCTATTTAGTTACATTGCACCACTGGTATTATTCATTAATGTTAATTACTGTGCCATCATTGAAACGTACTTATGAAGGAAATTCTTTATGATCTCTCTCTTCCCTAGCCATAAAGTTGTTTGGAAGAATTGGATTTGTCTTGAATGAAATGATCAGTTTCAATCTGCATTCATAATATCGACACAAACAGCCTCCATTGGCCTTTAATAGCAACAATGTTCTCTCTGAAAGTTAATGAGATTTCACTGCATTAACTGAAACAAAGTGTGACACTCAAACCAATAAGTGTCACACTAATGGGCTTCAATAACACACAGTAAAGACATTCACAAACATTTAATCAGTGTGAAATCATTGCTGTGATTGACTTATCCACGCAGTCTGCACAATCAAGTGTGTGCTGCGTCACTGGAGGACTGCGGGACCCACAAACACCGGTGGTTCCCCTGCAGTGCGAGAGATCAGCGATGGGACTATAAACAGAGAGGAGTGAGAGAGAGAGAGAGAGAGAGAGAGATAGAGAGAGGGAGGGAGAGAGGAGGAGAGAGGTGAGTGCTGCTGCAGAACAACATTTAGCCTGGCTGAGGAGTTAAACGGCGCACAGCGGCACATCTGCTTCATCCAGGCATTAATCCTGTTGTGATAGCCATGGTAAGTTCACTTCTGTGCTCAAATAGTGCGGATCTGCTCTGCAGTTCTCTTTGCTGCATGAGAACTGCAGGGATGACCACTGGACTAACCTTGAGAAAAATGATGCAGCAGCAGGGCTGTTTTTAGTGTGCAATGTGCATGTGAAGTAGCTGCTTTAGTAACTCTGCTTCACTGGGGCCTGTCTTCATATTCAGATGTTATGTACTGCAGCAGTGCTGTTTCATAGGAGGTGATTTTTCACAGGTGGCACTGACGATGCAGACCTCTAGCAGTGCATACAGTGGCAGAATACCCACCTGACTCCTTTGTTATGATGATGTTATTCCATCCACAATGCAGTAAAAGACAAACCTGTGTATCTGAGCATGTGTTGAAGGTTTGTACTCTGCAGAGGGCTACCTCCTTTACAATCCATTATGCACCATCACCACTGGTGTCACATACAGTATATTGGGTCAAAATACACAAGCCACTCACTGTAGTGATCTGTGCATCCACTACAAGCTCATCCTTAATCTAGAGAGGGCACAAAGATAATGAGCACTTCATCAGAATAAGAAGCAGAAACTTTCCAGAAGGAGCTGGTCCATTATTGGTCACTGCCAGAGGAGATTGTTCAAGAGTCCAAAAGTCTAACACCACTTGTCAGACCTTTGGACCACACTGACAGTTTTAAAATGCGTTGTAGCCTTTTCCTGCCCTTCTCTATTATATATGTGTACTATGTACAGAAAGCACAGATTTTACTGTCATACTAGCCTCCACATATTTCTCCATTTACCATTGGCCTCTACTGAAACATGTCTTCCTCCCTCAAAACTTTCCAAATACTTGCTGTTCCTTCAGCTAGCACTTGGCACTGAGGATAAAAAAAGTGCCAAACAAGCTTTAAGTTTTGACTATCCTGTCAGGACTATCTCTTTTTTTCATATTGTGGCAGTGAGCTACAGAGCTGGCAGGTTAAAGCTAGAGAGTGTAGCAGAGTGCTAAGCTATTTTAGAGCATGACTCTCAAACCAAAACACAGTAACCTTATTTTCTTGTTTTGTGAAAGTTGTCTGTTGCCTCTTCCCTAACTCGCTGACCAGCTGTGATACTCAACATTTAAACACTTTAGGTTGAGTTCTCTGGTATGATGTTTGGAGGTTTGAGCATGACTGAAGGATTTTACCCGGGGTGCAAGGGAAATGTGCGGTTATAGTCTACTGCTAATTTCTACTCCATCGCCGTGTCTGTACAGTAGGTCCCACTTTCATACCAAAGTTTCCACTGCTATCAACTCTTTGGAGTGAATACCAGGATGTCATGCTGTTGTCCTATTTCTGCTTCTTTTCACCAATATATTTTTAGGTCTACATTGTGCCCCTGGAATATTAGGGTGCTATTTGTTCAGGTTTCTCCACCTCAGGTGAGAGTGTGATGCTCCTGTTTCTCTGTTGTGTTCTTTCCTGCAGTTCTCAAAATGGTCTGAGCCTATGGCCTTTGGGAAAATGTCCTTTGTGGTTTTCATCCTGACCTCTGCCCTATCAGTGACTTCCCTCCCCGCTGACATAGAAAAAGGAAGGAGAAAAGTGGTGCATGTTCTTGGTAAGGGCATTTTATTCTTCCATATTTCTTACAGCGCTCATAATATGCATAGCTGAAATGGGCCCAGATTTATTTAGGGTGCATACACTTTCTGCAGAGACACTTCCCCCACAGTAGTGAGGTGGCTGAATGGTGCAGTTTTAATAACATGTTGTCACTTATAGACTGATATTGTATAGCACTCGTTAAATCTTCTCCTGGGTTCCACATTAAAGACTTAATGGAGAAAAGCAGTTTTGGAATACTCGCAGGTTTTAATGCAGTATTTTGAAGGGGTTACTGAGACACTGTATGTGATACTGGGCTGTAGAAGTACACTTGACCTTACTCATTTTCTTGGTTTATCACTAAGAATCTTCCCGCGAATTCAGGTTAACAAGTTATCAAAGCCATTAATAACACTGCTCCAAACTATTCATCTGAGGACTGCGATAAATTCCATTTATTTATTTGCTAAGAAAACTGATATCATCAGGGATTAAAATAATCAACTGCATGAGAGCTGGCTGCCTATGTTATCTACAAAGCAGAAGTGAACAAAAATACAGCTTTTCTTGTATTAGAAGATATTCTCAAATGACTGCATTCCTCCTCCCGCCTGCCTGGTATTGTCCAAACAAAACTGCTCAGAGGAGATTCTGTAGATTTATTTTTGCTGCAGTCGGTGGCACAATATTTATATCCTATACTCCTTTACTTGATTAAAAGCAGCATTACCAAAAAAGTCAAAATGATTCATTACATCTTACATTCAATCTTTTTACTTAATTAAAAGTACAGACATAGTATGTGCAAAATATAGCTTCAAAATCAAAATTTCAAAAGTAAAAGTACTCATAACGTCGAGTGTTAAGACTGCATACGATGCGTCGCTGAATAATTATTACTACTGCATTAATGTGCAGCGGTCATTTAAAGATGCAGCTGATTTACTTTTTTGAGTAATGTAATAGCAACATTATAGATTAGATGCTGTTTATGTTTTGTATGTAAAATCTTGACAATCAAACTTTGCTGCTTTGCATATTAAGCAAAGTAAGTAGAAACTAGAGCCACTGCATAAATGTGGTTGAATAAAGGGTATGATATTTCTCTCTGAACCTTTCGAGAATTAGTGGCATAAATGAAGCAGCATAAGATGGAAAGTACCTAAAAAAAAAAAAACTCAATTAAATTGTACTTGGGGGCAGAGGAACTCCACAGTGAGCTGGCAGACACGAACCTCTGGCATATTATTGCTTCATAAGTTGTGGCAAACATGTTAGAAAACAATTGACTATTTAAACAGGCAGAGAGCAGCAAAATCATCCAGTTGCAGTTGTGCTTCGAGCCACCTGTCCAATATTTACTCTCCTTTTCTCACTGTTAGTCTCATCTAACCCTTCAGTTAGTTGGTAACTTTGTCTGTCAGCTGTTTTGTGCTGTGCAGATAGCGTACAGCGGGTTTGTGTGAACTTCTCTGACAAACCAGGGCAGTGTAATGCATGTAGAGGTCTTCAGATTCCCAGCCCTTCCCGCATGCACTTACTAACTAGTAGCAGTCATTAGTGCAGCGACAGGGGCATAAGCCCTCCCCATCTGCAAACACCATCAGTTATTAACAGCAGTCTGTAAACTGCTGTCTCCTTAATCAAATGGTAACATGGTGTTCTTTGTCTTTACATCAGTGTGTTGCAGCCTAGCCCTCAGTGTTGGGAAATAATGTGCTTAAAGTTTTGATCAAACACAACTTCATGCTTTCATGGCTGCTGGTGATAAACAACTTTGCAGCGAGCAGTAAGCAGTGACAGGACTAATTGCTGGCTGGCATGGATAATTGTAGGTGTCTTTATCTGGTCACAACATAGCAGAAAACCTTTTGCAGCCGCTCATTAAATGTTTTAAATGTTTACACCTCACTTGTCATGTGCGTACTCTTTGGTTGCCTAGGTACTCACACACACACGTACAAACTCAAACAGCGTCTGAACAATTGTCTGCCAGAAATGCAAACTAGATCTTGTTATTGCCCATTTGGATGGTGAGGTCCGTGCTTACCATTAGTCTTGGATGATTTTGGTGACTTGCTCTTGGCAGAGGCTGAGGTTAAAATTTTGGAGTGGGTAAACTGTTGACAGATCCGGGCAGAAGAGAGACTACACTGCACACTGGACCCTTTCATAAAAAAATGTTTACCACTATTGATATGCTGAATGTTGAAACTGTAATGTGACTGAACTAGTAAACAGCTCAGGCTTTATTAGCCGACGCTGATTCAATTTTGCAGGCATTGTGCTATGATATCCCTCACAAAGAGAATCAAAGATTGAATTTTATGATTAGAATATGAATAACAGATATTGGCAGTGTCAAGGTTGATTGCAAACAGCACTGAAAGGATTTAACTGTGCATATTTGAATGGTAATGGGGAATTCCTTAGGCATTCACTTTTATGCAGCACTTTTATGAATATTTACCCCTAATTTAACCAAGTTGCACTATTCAAAATATAGATATCTGGTCATGAGAGCAGTACTGTATCAATGACAAGTGTGCAAATTCTACAATGACAATTGGGGGATGAACCTTTTTTCCAGGGCAAAAGCAAACCCAGTACAGTGCAGGCACGTGCTTCAGTGAACTGAATGTTACGGTTCTTACAGTATCTTGCTTGTTTAACTAAAACTGTTGAATAAATCCAGTAATAAGAACAATATTTCCCCCTGAAATATATATAGCGTAAAATGGAAACACAAGTCCAAGTACCTCAAAATTGTAGTTAAGGGTGAAAAGAGTGTCTATTATAATAGTAGCTAAACCACCACAGTCACACAAAGACTAATAAAATTGAATAATAAACTCTGTATTGATGTTAAAACATATCTGTACAACAGCCAGTCCACCATTGTCTCACTTCTCATGACTGAGCACCAGTGTTTGCTAAAATTTGATAATATATGACATTTTATATTCATTGTGAAATGCCAAGTCAACACTGAAAATGAAAGGGTGTGCAGTCAGCCAGCTAAAATTAGTTAGCTAAAGTGTAACTTAAGGCAAGAGTTAGAAACTAACAGTAGCGTTCATCTGTAGATACTTGACACAAGTCTAATTCAGACACTTAGAAGATAGTAACAGAAACAAAACAAGCTAGACAGTTAGCTACTGCTACTTACATTTACCTGTCTGTGCGACGCACGTGGCAGAGTTTTAAGGATGTGAGCCATGGATGGGAGTGAGGCAGGCAGATGAGATGTTCAATCAAGGTCAATAAGAAATGGTATGGTCCACTTTAGGGGTGTCTGAAATCATATAACATGACTCTTCCATGCATGAATATGGGAAATATATTGTAATGTTTACAATTCCAGGTGAGAAGGATATATAAATGTTCAAACTGTTTCTGGGTCCAAGTCTTAAGCCCCCCCCCCATTTCCCCTCGTAATTTGAACCCTAATGACAAGTTACAAACATCAATCATCATATGCATTATTTTGATAATCCTGCCTAGTTTTGTCTTCTACCTTCCCACAGAGGACGACACCGGAGCGGTCATTGTGCAGACAGCTCCTGGTAAAGTGATGACACATCGTGGTGGCTCCATCACTCTGCCCTGCAGATTCCATCACGAGCCAGAAGACACGGACCCTGCCCGCATCCGGATTAAATGGACCAAAGTGACAGATGCACTGCAGTTTGAGGATGTCTTTGTGGCGCTCGGAAGGTAAATTCTGCATCTGCATTTTTCACTCATTCAATCTGTACCTATTGTTTTGGTTAAATTTTCCTGTTCATCAGTTGTAGGGTTCAAACCAACAATGCTGTATGATGATTTGACTGATTGAGTTCCTTTTACTACGATAATACATTATATTATCACAAATCATGTTTCTATGGAGTAAGTATTTTTATGAGCCCACTCATAGAAAACACTCTTTTTACAAGCTATTCAGAGAGGTATCCTACTAGAAATCTACGTTTGAACAATTTCTTGCTAATTGTGTTTTTAGCAGCTTTTAAGGAAAGTACATTTTTTGTGAAATCTCTACAGGCAGCAGCGTGTATTTGGAGGGTACAGAGGTCGTGTGTTTTTGGAGCAGGCGGGCCCTGGTGACGCCTCAGTGATCATCCAAAATGTCACACTGGAGGACTATGGACGCTATGAGTGTGAAGTCACCGATGACATGGAAGATGATACTGGATTTGTCAACCTTGACCTAGAAGGTCAGGAATTAGGTCCATCTGGGATTTTGTCAAGGCTATGATACAGTATATCTAATATTCAATTGTACTCGCTATTGTCCAAAGTGTTGGTCAAAAAATGTTTCACTTCAGATGAGATTTACATGAAATTCATAATTTTACAGCCTCACATTCAACAGCAAACTTGTTTCTGTCAACTGTAGGTGTGGTGTTTCCCTACTACCCCCGTGAGGGGCGCTATAAGCTCAACTACCACCAGGCTGAGGATGCCTGCAAACAGCAGGACGCCATCCTGGCCTCCCACTCTCAACTGCATAAGGTACATTCACACCTCAAACGGACAGTCTGTCATGTTCAAGGCAGAAAGAAAAAGGGTAGGGTGGAGGTCTCTGATCACTACAAGTACATTAATTTATAGGCCTATATTTAGATGTAATGATGCACTGACAGGCTACAACCCTTATACAACAGCCTTGGAGCAGCAGCAACTCTGAAATTAAGAATATGCATGTGACCAGAAAACTTACTGCAGGTCTGTCGTCAGACTTTTAAAATCCCTACACATTATAGAAGAGTGTTATGGAGTTATGTCAGAGGTGATAAACCACATTTTCTCTCCTCTTAATAATGTGTTTAATCCTTCACAATAACTCATCAACCTACATTATCTCTTTCCACAGGCCTGGCTGGAAGGACTAGACTGGTGTAATGCTGGATGGCTGGAGGACGGCTCAGTCCAGTACCCTATCTCTCATCCCAGAGACCAGTGTGGCCGCAAGGACACCCCTGCTGGTGTTCGTAACTATGGCTACAGGCATAAGGAAGATGAGCGTTATGACGCTTTCTGTTTCACTTCCAAGCTCAATGGTGAGAATCAGAGAGTTATGTAGGTTGGCGGCTGCAGTTTTGTGCTCATGCATGTGTGTATCTGAAGATCAAAACACTTTCATACACGATCATACTCCTGAATGCCGATATCCTGCCCAGTATCCAGCATCTGTGGCTCAAGATTGGAAGGGAACAAGACACGAGCGGAGCTGGATTGTTGTGATACTGTATAGAAAGAGGATGTATCATGAGTGTTGGACCGTGGGGGAAATGAGGCCCATGTCTCTAATCTCTGCCTGTGATCTCACAGGCCTAAGGCCATTGGATTTAGATCAAGCTGTGTTGATTCAGCCCTGCTTGGGCCACAGTGTCCGCTGGGTGCCGAGCAATGCCTTTCATCTCCAAGTTCTTTGATTTACATCATATTCCCTCAGAGAGTCTGTGAGTGTCTCCGTCATACATGCCACCTCCAGGTTCATAAGCTCAAACAAACTTTGGAAAGTGGGAGGCTGGATTAGTTTTTTGTAGCATTAAACTTATGTGTAGTTTCTGGGCAGTTGAAACAAGTCAACATTGGTTATTAAAGGAATAGTTTGTTGATTTGGGCTTATTTACTTTTATGCTGAGAGTTAGATGAGAAAATTAGTACCAATCTCATGTCTGTACGATAGCTAGTCTTTAATAGTCTTTTTAGTTAGCATTCGGTTAGCTTAGCAACCTGAAACAGGGGGAAACAGCTAGCCTGGTTCTATGCAAAATTTTAAAAATCCACCTCCAAATCTCACTCAAAAACACATTTGTTTAATCTGTGCAAAAACTGAGGTGTAAAAATTTTAGAATTTGTTCTTTTACAGGTGACCAAACTATTTCTTTCTCAGAAACAGGCAAACAACAGAGATAGGAAGGCAGTTGTCCCAGCCAAGAAATAGTACAGACCTGTCGTTTTCATAAGTTTTTGTAGAGGTTAAACAAATCAGATGTAACATGTTAATTAATGAGCTTTAGAATTGCAAGTAGGTGGATTTTCTTAGCTTCAAATGAAGCCAGGATAGCTCTTTTCCTCTTCTTCCAGTCTTTGTGCTGAGCTAAGCTAACTGGCTGCTGGCTGTAGCTTCATATTTAGCTGACAGTGGAGTTAACCATATTATCCAACTCTTGGCAAGAAAGGAAACAAGCATATTTCCTACTTCTTTAAGACATTTACCACATTAGAGAAGCATACTGTATCATTGGTTGACAGGGAATTTTAAAAATTCAGTTTGGAAAAGCATGGCTTCAAGCCTGCATGCACCTCTTTGAAGTTTGAAAGAGAATTAAAAACTTCTCATGCATTCTAAAAAGTAGTTAGATAAAATATAATGCTCTTTATTTGAATGGCAAAACCGTTTCGGGACAGCCCAAACTGTGACAAAGAAACGATTCCTTTCCTCAGTGAGAAATAGGTAATGTGACAGAAACCTTAAATGATTGCTCATGGCTTCCCTTGTGTGTTAATTATTGTGGACAGTCTGTTGTGGGCAGGAGGTTTCAGCAGTGGTCGTGACCGATACTGTTTCTCCGTCCAGCTGGAAGGTATTTACTGAATGTCCCCTGGGGAAATATGAGACAATATTCTGCCTCTCTAATAGCCACCAGTCACATAAACAAGCATAAAATCAATAGCTGAGCCAAGTGCAAAGCTGAGGTTGCGACATGATTTTCATGATAGCAGTAGCTGTTCGGAGAATTCTTGGTTTGGTTCTTTCTCCTGTGCTTCTTTCGTAGGGGAAGCTACCTTGTGATGTGGCTCAGTACACCAAAACAATTCAACCAATCAGGACACCCATTTCTTTATTATTGCCGGGTGAAAAGTCTCCCTAAGGTGAGATGAAAGTAAAAATGGAAGCGTTTTAAGAGTAATGTTGAGTTAGAGTGCTGCCCGCTGACAGAGTATTGCCTTTGATTTTGAACAGCTGCCCAGACAGTTGTTTGAATGAGTTGATATTCTGAACACAATCAGGCAGAGAGGCCAGGAAAACTGAGAATATCTACCCTCAGGGCTCAGCTCGTCTCTGGGGCTTCGCTCTCTCACTCATATCTCTCTCTCTCTGAACAATGCACTTGCTCTGTTTCTCTTCACCTTTTCACATGTTCTTATAACAAACATCCTCTCCTCTCCCTCAATATTCCCCTAGGCAAAGTGTACTTCCTCAAACGTTTTAAGAAGGTGAACTATGGGGAGGCAATGAAGGCTTGCATTCGAGATGATTCTGTGGTGGCCAAAGTGGGTCAGCTCTATGCAGCATGGAAGTTCCAGCTTCTGGACCGCTGTGAAGCCGGTTGGCTGGAGGACGGCAGCATCCGTTACCCCATAGTCAACCCACGTTCTCGCTGTGGAGGATCCCAGCCAGGCGTCCGACACTTGGGCTTTCCTGATAAAAAATTCCGCCTCTATGGGGTCTACTGTTTCCGCAAGACCAAGGATGAAAGAGCAGGTGCTGAAACGACAAAAAGCCCTAAAGATAGTTTGACAAGGAGGAAGAGCAGCAACAGCATCCCCATGAATGCTACAAGGGTGATTTAAAGCAGAAAGACTGAGAGCAAGAGGGGGATGCAATTTTAGATTTGACTGCAACAACTGTCGCCTAGCAGCCAGACTCCATTCATCGCTTTTAAAGTAAAACACTCACAGACGAGATGTACTCATTTGCAGATTTGCCAGAGAGAAGTGAGGCTGTGTAAAATTAAGGGTGACATCTTTATTAGGGTGATTTTCCTTTCGTCTAAAGTCAGTCAATCATCTTAAGGAGTGAGTATGTAAGCACATCTGTCGCTGGAAAACTGTGAGATTAAACAGCAGCTTGATCATCACTCAGGCACACATCAGATCAGAGAGTCTGCCATGAACATCCTTGTTTGCGTGTATGTGGAGCACATTTTTGGCCCCCACTGTGGCTCCTGAGCACTAAGCCCCAGTCTGAGCCAGAATGCCAGTGCCAGGGTGAAAGCATTCATTACTGGGTGAGACAGCATGATCTGCCTCACTGTATGGAAAAAATCCAAGATGCCCTGTAAGTTTTGATTGTACAAAGTGTAATTGCCTGTAACCGGGTGCCATGCTTGGTTAGCAACCCTCTGGCACAATGTGAGTCATTTTTCTCATTAACTAAGACCTGGCAATCTCATTATCAGAGCTGAACAGGCCAAGTAGTAAATATTTTACTTGCTCTACAAATATTTGCACTTTAGAGCTTTATTTTATGATAGCATCTTAGCTTAGACTTTAGTGAGCATGAATAGTTTGGCTGAGAGTAGCCACTGAGGCTGAATTAGCAGAAATACACAGCTACAATAATTGCTATTTACCTCACATAGTGCACTTCTAAGCTATCTGGGCCACCAATTGCACTATAAATGTTACATGCACATAGCTTTATTACAGAGTATGTTTGCCACTACAAAATGGATAACTGTTCTGAGAAAAATAAAAGTCTTGAAATTGTTGGTTTGAACAACACGTGTTTGGGTGCATTTTTTTTTTCTGTATCAAAATACAAATCGGCGTTAAAGGAAAAACCTGATTAAATGAGAGGAAGAATATAATAAATGCTGCACTGCTTCCATCAGTTTAAAGGTGCTATTTGTACGTTTTCTCTGCTGCACAATGTGATTTCCTGCTGGGAGCGAGTGGTGGTGGTTGTGGGTGAGCAGCACTACTTCTTCAGAGCAGATTGAGGGCTACAGTTAGCCCCTGTCGGAAAATGACAACATTTGCGACGTTTCTTTTAGACTGGTTAGTAAACAGCTGTTTAATACTAGTGCTGGCTATGTAGCAATAGCAAAACTTACTAAGTACTAAACTAGCACTAAACACAAAGTACAGCTGAGGCTGATGGGTATGTCATCTGTTTTGTATTTAATCATAAACTTAAATAAGTAGTAATAAAGTTAATTGTGACTTGATAATGGTGCCTGCTTAAAAGTTAAGGGATCAACAAAATTATTACAAATTATCTTGAAGGGTAATATGGATGTATGTACCAAAGCTCATGGCAACCCATAAAATCATTGTTGAGACATTTCACTCAAAATTACACAATATCAGTATCACGGTGGTACAAAAGGAAAAGTCATGGTCACACCAAAGTCAGTGGGATATAAATCCTCTGGGAACCATGAAGATCGGTACCAAATTTTATGTAAATCCATTCAGAAGTCGTTGAGACATTTCACTAAAAAACAAAAATGTGAACCTCATAATGGCACTTGAGGAAAATCCAAGGCATCACCAAAGTCAGTCAGCTTCTTCCTCAGGGGACCGTGAATATCTGTACAAACTTTAAAGGCAATCCATCCAAAAGTTGTTGAGATGTTTCAGTCTGGATCAAAGTGGGGGACCAACTGAGTGGCAGACCAGTAAATGACATTGCCACCCATAGAGCCTCGACCTAAAGCTCATCATATTTTATACTAACAGTTCTAAATCAATTATGTGTGTAGGAGTCACAGTTGATAAGCGATCAATGTGTCGTTCTGGAGTATATGTGCTCCACTCTGCCTCATGTGTCCCAGTGTTTGCCAGTGAGAGAACCTGAGTGGGAGTGAGTTGGTGTTGCGCCAACACAGCAGAACAAACCATGTTATCGTCATAGCAACTAACAGAATGTAATTAAAGTCAAGTTCATGGCAAGTCCAACATCATGAAATAATTGCTGTGAGTAACGAACTTGAGCTGTAAACAAAAAAAAATCACATCAGTTTGCAGCGTATTGACAGGTTTGTGCTGTTTTTTTTTTTTTTTTTCCAAAGAGAAAAAGAACCTCTGAAATGACCTGGATGATCAAAGTTGATGATTTTAATGATTCGCTGAGTACTCTCACCAACCCCATTAGTCTCTGCTACTGTGTGAATTTAGAGTCAGAGCCACTAAATTAATAAGCAAAGTCCTGCTTGATGCACTATGACATTTATAATTTATGGAGAATTATGTATCCCGGATTTCAGTGCCGAAGTAATTTAGATGTTTTTTATGTGCTCTGGATTGTGATGGTAACCCATTTGATATTCACTTTGCATGGCATTTAGCAAGCAACTCCATCTTATGTAAGAGCAAGGTCATCATAAATAGCATCCAGTACTTCCGATTTGACTGCCAGCTCTTTGGCAAGCAAAGAGATGGATCTGTATGCAGTATGCTTTTGTTAACAAGAATAATAACACTAATAGTAGCTACATGTTGGATCAACTGAGTGCTCAAAGAAACCAACACATTCCACAGAAGATGAGCTCAGTTGACAGGTACTGGTTAAAGTTCCTTCACACTTCACACTTTATTGAGTGAAAAGATACCACTCAATGTAAGGACAGAGAGAAAAAGACAGTCAGGTAGAAGATGGTGACACACTGCAGGAAAGTGACTGAAACTGTTACAACTAGTTTGCTTAGAAGATGACAGCACTGTTTTCATTTCATCAGTTCTTCTCATCACCTTTCTTTTCTGAGAATGAAATGAAATCAGGTGACACTATAACAGCAGAGTACGGCCACACTATAAATTCAAAGGGGTGGGATGACGCTGGCTCTGACTTGGCTGTCATTTATCAGCCTGTGACAGAGGTCAGGGCTCGTGAACACGCCTGACGTAGAAGCAGAAAGAAGGGGAACAAGTCACGGAAAGGTGACATAAGAGATAGATTGAAATAGGATTAATACCAGTCAAATGTAGCAGTGGAAATGGATTTAAAGGCACTACAAACAGACTGACTGACATTTCACTGATTCTCCCAGTAGTTTTTCTTTCACCTGTCAGTCGGACAAATTATACTTTTACTGTCCTTATAGACACTTGTCACAGCAGACATCTTCACTTGTTATATCAAGAAAATCACAGGTTCCAACTTGTGGTTACAGCAATGCTGGCTCCATTCCTTTTGACTACCCCAACGGGCTATTTCAGTGAGTAAGGATGGTGAATACCCCGGGCACAGCCTGTGAAAGAAAAAGGTATATTAGTAGATGGATCCTATATCATTCCCAGTACTGTTCTGTCTAACATGAACGTGAGCAGAAGTCTAATCAGACAATAAGTGCAAACACCTGTGTGGGCCTTTAATCTTATGAAGGTTAGAATTACCACCTGGCAGTTCTTTGACTCCACCAACCAGCCAAGTTGCAGGAAATATGGTCTCTCTTCCTGAGTTACAGCACTGAATAATTTTTATTTATTTATTTTTTTGCAAAACATGATGATGTCATGGTGAAGTTGACCTTTGAACTTTGGACATAAATTGTCATCATCTCATCCTTCATCCTATAAGACATTTGTGTTAAATTGTGTCAAAATTAGCGCATGAAATCTCCAGCATGCCTTCAACCACCCCCGACCTTACCAGACGTCTCATCAGGCAATAAGTGAAAACACCTGTGTGGTTGTCCAGTGCCTTTAATGTTCAATGTTTAATGTTTACTGGACAAAGGAAAGTAAAGAACACATCTGACTATGAACTATGAAGTTTTTTTTCACAAACGTGAGATCGATATTTGGCTCTGTGTCAATAAAGACCAAAATCCAAAGGAATAAAGAGAAAATACTGGTTTGGTAAGGTCTTCATCACAAATGAAGAAAGATCTCAGCTGTTATAAATTTGTGGTTATTGAACTGAACTAACTGGAAAACTGAACAGAGACTCTTCTTTATCTTTATTCAGGCAGCATTATTCAAGAGAGTCAAAGCCCAGTGTTGTTTCAGCTCAGGCTTTCACCAGGCGCAGGCAGATGTGATGGATAAGAAACTTCTTTATACATATTTTTATAAACATGCAAAAAGCATCCAGTAGGTTTATTGTATCAGTCAGTAATCAGACTATCATCTGTAGCACCTGTGTTTCTATTGGTCCTTGCTTTTGTTCTCCATATCAGCACCATCTTGTGGTCTACCCCGTTGCCACATTGTGACTTGCTCTTTTCCTGCATTTCATACTGAATGAAAATAAAAGCTGAGCAAAATCCACACACTTTTGAGTATATTAGACCCAAACAACACTTATCACAATGAATTAAACTTACTCCCTAAGAAAAGATATGACAACTATAGCTCTTTGTTTATTTGTTTCTAAATTGCTTTCCGTTTGCAAAGCTATTATTCCAGTTTGCCACCTCATTTATAGCAGTTCCCTTTCTCTGTGCCTTGAAAGCACAGTAGTGTGGTCCCAGGAAATATTTTGCCATTGCAAAAGCTGGATTTTGTCTTCTGATGGGACTCTGACGTGTGAGATTTTCATTTGCTGCCTTGCTTGCCATTTGCTGTTTTCACAATATACATTAAACCACAGGCACACTGAAAAATGTAAATAACCCCACTAATGTCAACAGTAAGAGTAGTTAAATATAAGAAAAGTAAAACTTGTAACCTCATTATTGCAAATCTTTTTCACTGACTCATAATATTGAAACAAAGGATGTCTTTATCAAGATGTGGAAACTGGAGAAATGCTTCCCCGCATCGCTCTCTACAAACGTCTGAGGACATGATTCATTTGTTGACGGTGTACATTTCAGTCTAAGGCAGGAGCAATGCAGTGCTTGTAGATTATCCCCACAGGAATTAAGTTTTATTGTGCATCAGACATCAACATTGTTATGATTGAACACACAAACAGGCACCATATCCATACAACATTAGCCCTTGGGAAATAGCTTCTTAAATTACCCCATCTCCCTAAACGATCTCCCTTAATGCCTTATGCATTCTGTGTGTAATTTGGCTGAAGCATGCTGCTACTGATACATATAATGCATTGAAAGCAGTCGGTTTGTGGAGATGGGTAATTGGCCAAATTGTGAAAGGTTTCCCCCAGAGTGAGGGGCAGATTAAACAGGCAGCAGTGCCGAGTTAATTGAAAATGTTAACCATCTAATGGAGTGCACTGTGTCTAATGAATGGGAGAGAGTTTGCCCAGTCATCTATAGATGCCTCTAAAGAAAAGTGGGTTTTAGTTTTACCACAGTCCAACCTCCATTCTTTCCATTAGCTCTCCTCTTTGGTAGCGAGCTGTCACACTCACCACATCAAGAGTGAGTCACGCTGGTTTACTCGCCGGGCACTTTCAACAATCCCGGAATGGGTCGAAAGAGAATAGTGGGAGGTTAATGAAACAGTTCAAGCCATTTGTGTGGGAATGGGGTTGTGAATCTATGTGTGTGTGTGTGTGTGGATGGATAGATGGATGGCTGTGTTTGTGTGTCTGTTAGGAAGAGATGAAGGAAAGCAGACAGCCTCAGCAGAAACACAAAGTCACAGGGAAGGACAGAGTGAAAGCCAGGCAGGGAAAGCAACAGAGAGAATAAGAAGTGTGGAAGAGAGATAGGTGGCAGAAAGGAGTTTGAGGGAATAAAGTGAAGGCGGAAAGATAAGAGGAAAAAGTGGGGAAAGGGAGAAAAATGGCTGGAATGCAGAGTGCAGGGGAATGCAGGATATCAGCAAGCAG